CTTTCATCATTTTCAAATAATCCTCTGTGTATCGATCCATTTTTAATATGGAATATATTTTTTTGCTAATAAAAAAATTTTAATCTTAATTTTGCTATTAAAAAGTTAGAAATCAGAATGCTTTCAAAACTGCTCGATGGTTTATCTCGTGTATGGAACTGGATTAGGGGAACAAAACAAAAAGACAATCAACCGTGGGAACTAGAAAAGACAGGAAGTAGGTATGTAAAATAGCATGATACAATCAAGGAAATATATAAGATCAATACGAAAGCAAATGCTCCCAAGCTAATCAAAATCGAGGAACTGCTTGAAAAGAACGTTCGAGAAGTCGTTAAAAATCACAAGATAAAAAATATGATAAAATAAGGCTTGTTGTCAGAGCTCCAAGTTTAGAAAAACCGCTGTTTACAAAGCTCATCCGATTTGAAGATTTTACCGAGGATGTTCTTAATGAAACTTTAGGAAAAATCGGGTATGAAGATGTTGATATTCAAAAAACCGTTATCGACGTTGAAATAGTTAAGATGCCTATCGGAAAAGGACGCAGGAAAATATATACGATGGTGGAAGATTGTTTGAAAAAGATGAAGTTTATAGTTAAATAGTTAAATTGTAAAATCGGTAATGGTTTTTCTTTCGCAGATATAAATATGTTCGAAGAATTTTTAGACGTTCAAGTTAATGTAAGAGGTATAGAATTCTTTAATGCAATTTACAGGGGGGAAAAAAGAGAAAACTTCATTAACAAAATATACATTGATGAACATTATGGATACGTGATCACGAGCATGACTGCGTTCTTGTGTAAAGAACATTATTGTAAATATGGTTATAAAGGGTATGTCCATGCTGATAAACACAATTGTAAGGCAACTTGCAAGTACTGTCGTAAGATCTTTTCAAAGCCGTCTAATGTCTGTAACGGTAAAGAGCTTATTGTATGCACCGACTGTAATCGTTCCTTTCTCGGAAATACATGTTTAGCTAAGCATAAGATCAGAAGTAAAAACTGGAAGTCTTCTTGTGATAAATACCTCAAATGTTTAAGCTGCGAAGAAATATATAAAAGAGAAAAAGAACACAAATGTGGAGAATTTAACTGCAACAACTGTCATAAATATGTTAATAGAGAAACGCATGAATGTTACATACAAAAAATTAAACCCCTAAAAAAATCAGTGAAAAGTATACATTCTTTGATATCGAATCGGATCAATCTTCTGGTACCCATGTCCCAAATTTAATTATTACAAGAGATTTCAACAAAAAAGGTAAGAAGTTCTTTACATTAGAAAAATTTTGCGAATGGGTTTTTAAAGAAGAGCATAAAGGTTATACATTTATATCGCATCATGGAAAGGGATATGATATTCAATTCATTAAGAAATACTTAATCGATGGAGGACAAACACCACTTTAATTCATGATGGACTAAAAATTCAAGAGTTATGTTATAATTCTGTTAGGTTGATAGACCGCTTTAATTTCATAGCAAGACCTTTAAGAATGTTCCCAAAAACGGCCGGAATTGAAGAACTTAAGAAAGGTTGGTTTCCTCACTTTTTTAATAAGAAACAAGACTGGAATTACATCGGTAAAATACCTCACGTAAAGCATTTCGGATGCGACGAGATGAATCCTGAAGAGCGAAAATAATTTTTAGATTGGTATTCTAAGCAAAAAGACGAATTCAATTTCGAGAAGGAAATCATTAGCTACTGTCGTTCTGATGTGCTACTCTTAAGAGAGGGATGTCTTAAATTTCGAGAAATATTTTTAGAAAACTTGCAAATGGATCCATTTTAGTATGTAACCATTGCCAGTTTTTGTATGGGTATTTATCGGACTCGTTTCATGCCGGAAAATAAAATAGCTATATTAAAAAGTAGAGCAGGTCGATCTAGCATCGGTAGTGCATTGTTAAATCATACAGAAAATGAACGGAACTTAAAACTGGAGCGTAAAAGGACGTTATGTGTAAATCGTTCGAAGTTTATTGTAGACGGATTTGATGGTAAAAGCAGAACGGTCTATGAGTTTTTAGGTTGTTTCTGGCACGGATATCCTAAATGTTATAAGGAAGAAGTTAAAAACACTCGTCTAAAGGAACCAATGCATAAAGTCTTACAGTATACCAACTTTAAGTTAATGGAACTACAAAGAACTACATTTGGTAATGCTAAGCAAAAAAATTCCCAGATTTCATGGAGTTCTACAAATAAAAAAATCATACTTCTCGTTTAAATCCGAGGGAGGCTTTTTATGGAGGAAGAACGAATGCTATAAATTTATATTAAAAATTTTCTAAAGACGAATACGCTTGTTACGATGATGTTGTATCCTTATACCCTTATGTGCAAAAACATAAAACCTTTCCAGTAGGTCATCTACAAATAATCATTTATCCTGAAGAGTTCAATGAAAACTGTTTTCGATTCATTAAATGTAATGTATTACCTCCGGAAAGATTATTTCATCCAGTACTTCCTGCGATGGTTGATATTAAAATAAAAACAATCCATAGGTATTTAAAGAAAGAAAGAATTAAAAGTACAACTAAACTGATGCTTCCACTATGCAGAACATGTGCACAAACGATGACAGAAAAATGCAAACATACAGACGAAGAAAGAAGTTTCGTAAGTACTTGGACAACAAAATAAATAAAACTCGCAATAAGAAAAGGTTACGTTATAAAAAAAGTATACAAAGTATCGGCTTTTGAAAAAAGTAATATATTGTTTCAAGATTACGTTAATTTTTTTCTAAAAATAAAGCACGAAGCATCTGGTGTTTCTGATGATATAACAAAAGATCAATATATTAAAATGATAAAAAAGATGGGATCGATTTAGATCGAGAAAATATTGCATATAATCCTGGACTTCGTGCTATAGCAAAAAATATACTTAAATTCTTTATGGGAAAAGTTCGGTGAGAGAAACAATCGGACAAAAACATGATATACCAACGAGAAATCTGAGTTTCATAAGATATTACTAGATGAACGTTTAGAAATACTCGGATTAGATTTTTAGAAGAACGACGAACTAGCTGAAATACAATATATGTATATTAAAGATGCTGTAAAAAATTCTAAAAATACTAACATAGCGATAGCCGCTTTTACAACATCTCTCGCTTGAATGAAACTATACGAAAGGCTGGAAGTTTTACAAAAAAGTACTTTATTTTGATACAGATTCTGTAGTATGCATTCCTATAGAAAATGAATTACCTACAGGGAAAGCTCTAGGAGACTGGGAAAGAAAATTTATATTGAAAAACACTTAGGTATCCACAGGACCAAAATCATATGCTTCGATAAATACTGATAACGAATAGATCTGTAAATTTAAAGGACTTACGCAAAATTATGAAAATAAAAAATACCTAAATATACAGGGTTTAATTGATTTAGTAAAAGGTAAAAAGAAAAGAAGAACGATAGTAAACGAACATTAAATGAAAATAACCAAAACAGGAGGCATTCAAAACGAATACGAAGAAAAAGAAACAATATTTGATTACGATAAAAGATTTATTGTAGAACAAAAAGATGGAACAATAATTACACACCCGTGGGGTTTTAAAAGATAAGCCTAACTATATCTGCTTGTAAAAAATAGCGCGTTCCTTATTTAAAAATTTCATTTTAAAGCGCACAACTATAAATAAAAATAATAAACATGGAGGGCATACCCTTATTATATCCGATAGCAAGCGAAAAAGATTCTAATTTGCGAATAGGTAAAATCAACGAAATCAAAAACGAGCTGAAAAAAGAACGGCATTACGAACGCGTATACAAAAAATAAAAACGGATTTTTAAAGCAGTTAAAAGTACGCAAATGATGTAATTGCATATCGGCTGCCGCTGGAACATCAAGCCTGGGATCCGCTTGGAGCGGCATCGGAGCAATAGCTGCGATACCATTGAGTTGCGTTTCGTTAAGCTCTGGGATTATAGGAATTTCTTTAAACATTGCCTCTAAAAAACTTGGATCAAAAGTAAAGAAAAATAATACAATAGCTTTTTTAGCTAAATCAAAACAAAATAGTCTCGCCGATATCGTTTCGTAAGCCATCAAATACGGAGAAGTATCGGAAAAAGCATTTTCGCACATATTAGAAGAAATTAAAAACTATAACAGCATGAAAGAAGACATTAGAAGGAATCATAATCAGCAAGAGGTTGATATCGAAAAGTTAAAGAAGGATTTTTTAGTAGAAGGAAAACAACTTGCAATACAAAATTTGAAAACTGCAATTTCTATAGGGAAGAAGTAATTGGTTAATGCTTGGTTTGCGACAGCTTGCAATTTATACCTTCTGCACCACCTTTATACGAGTAGATAATATAACGATACTTGCTAAACCTTACACGTTTAGAAAAAACATTTCAATGCGTAGGCTAATGCATTGCGGGACTCTATCAATGCTCCGCAATGAGTGCGCGCACCAACCGTGAAGGACACTATATGATGCCATGTTATTGCGCCATGATAGATTCGGCTCGACGACTTCTTACGACCGGAGGCAATGCAACCACAAACCGGAACTCCCCTCGAGGATCATCGGCAGTGGCGTTCCTGCAGGAACTCTAGTGGGTGGTAAATAAATTCTTAGATTTTTTTGGCTTTTTGTTCGAATTTTATTTCAACAAGATTTCTCCATTAAAAGAAAAAAAAATTAAAAATCTGTATATATTCAAAAAATTAAGACAATAAGATCAAGGATAGACGTTTAGAAAATGAGAAAGAGTACGATACAAAAAATCGTTTCCGTTACTCAAGAAATAAATAATGGTATTCAACAGCAGGGAATGAGATGCAGCAAATGTAATAAAATCGTATCGATATATTCTAGACCAACTAGATCCGGCTCCACAACTTTTTATGATTGAACGTATTGTAAGACTACAGTAAAAAAAAAATATGACTAAATCATTAACAAAAAAATATTCCATTTTGCACGCCACAGCGTGCGAAATTTACTTATTCTGCGTTCCCGCGGGAACGCCGGCGGATTTCGACTCACACGTTGGATTATCAGGGTGTCCAATTGGATACCCTGATTCTGACAAAAAAAAATTTGTAAAATACAAAGAGATCATTCTATATTATCCAGATGATGTTGCTGAAATTTTGGGATACGTAAAAACTAGAAATGCAATATTAAAATATGTTGATGTTGATTACAAATACAGACTCGAATATATGAGCCTCATTTCACCACCCTTTAAAAATCAACATCCACGTACAATTCTTAAAAATGAACTAAGTCTTTATTCTCTTGTTAATCTATAGTTCTTTGTATATAAAAAATTGTAAATTCATCAAGAAAAACCTATAATCCATACTAGACTGCATTTTCCCATAAAATCATTTAAAAAAACCTATAAAGAGGGCTAAACGCATTTTCCTATAAAAATTCATAAAATCATTAGGCAAATCCTTGAGTTCCGGAGTCCCTACATATACTCCTATACAACATATACTAGTCCCTACATATACTACTACATGTTTGCCTTGGGCTTGAAACTTAGCTGTTTTGTAAAGAGCATTGTGTTCAATAGAAATAAAGTCCAATTAGATCTTTCAATTGGAAATTAGCTCCCATTGAAAAGAACGTTATGCAGTGAAAATGTATTTGAAAATAGTTAGACTTTCAGATATATGACTTGAAGTGTTGTGTGGCATCACTAGTGTTACTGTTACTGTTTTGCTTTGCTTTGCCATTCTTAACTTTGTGATGAAAACGCTTTGCATATTTCAATACGGAGTGAAAATGACAGGAAGCTATTAATACATATGTGATTTTAAGGAATGAGGGGAGCGTTTGTTTTAAATGGGAGTGATTGGAATCAGCTAACCAAGATATGGTATTTCTTTTTTTTAAGTCCTTCTTGGTGCTCTTTTTGGTCCTTAAGTCCATCTAACAATGAGAAGGTAGGAGGAAGTATGAAACATGATACAATGCATTCAGGTTATTTTGAGAGGCATTCTTCTAAGCATTTTGCCTCCAGCGCATTACAATTTGCTGCTGTTACAAAAGTGATTGGGAACCACTGTAAATCAAGATACCAGTTTTCAGGTAATTAGGTGCTTACGAATTAAGTCCGAAGTGCACATAATTGCACTTTGCAAAACTTGGCTGTAAACTGAAACATGTAGGAAATTTTTGTGTTGAATGTAATTTGCCAATGTCATTGTATGGATTTTTTTATTAAGATTTTCTTTTATTGTGCAAAAAAGTTAGATTTTTAAAATAGTTGTGTAAAAGTCAAATGGGCACAATTTTTAAGAAACCATGTAAAAGTGTTGCTTGATTAATATTGTCCAAATTCTTCTGTAACTGCCTGAGATGATAAAGAAGCAGTCTTTAATAATTCACATAGTCATGTTCATAGGAGGTCCAAAAGTTGATACAATTTTGAAGACTTTCTGATCTTAAAAAAGGCTCTGAAGTCTGATGATTTATTTTAACAAGCAAGCAAGTCAATCCAGAGTTCTCTTTCTGTTTTGAGATCGTTGTATACAAAACATATATTGGCATCCAAAGTTCATATTATGCAGTAATTGTCTATAATTACTTTAGTCAACCCTCTTTAAATTCATGACAGCAGGATAGAACATACATTTTTGTTTCATGATTTTTTTTCATCTTCCTATGCAAAACAATATTCAAATTACAATGAATAAAGTATAGTCCCTTGAAATGCTACTGAAAATTCTATGAAAACACCAGTCAAGTAAGAAGACAAGAAGTTTAAAAGGCCATTTCCTCAAGATTAAGCAAAACTTCCCCCTCCTTGTAATATTATCTCAGTTTGCCTTTACTTGGTAATGATTTCTTTGTAGCTAAGGTAGCTGTTCTGAAAGATCATGGTCATAAAGGTTGATATGTTTGTGTGGTCTAGTCCCAGTGAACAACATGGTGATCATCTGGTCACAATGAACAATATTGGTGAATATTTTGTCCCTGTGAACAGCACTGGTGCTTGTCCAGCCCCAGTGAATAGGACAGGGAGTGCAACAAAACCATATTTATCATCCGGTGGGTTCAGTAGTTCCACAGCCCTTTTGAGGTTTATCACTAAGAGACTTGAGACTTGAAACTAAGAGAATTGTAACCCATAGCAGGTTCTGGTTCATTTTTTCAGGATTTCCCTGGAACCTTTTCTCTAATTTTCCATTCTAGGAAGGCTCTCGTGGGAATTCCCATTTCATTCGATGTGCGCTTAAAGATTAGTAAAGATTAGTAAAGATTTATTTTCTGTCATTTTGAGGAATTGCTTAGATAATAATTACATCAAAATTGGTGATCAGATTTTTAGGCAAAAAATTGGGATTCCAATGGGCAGTAACTACTCTACTAATATGGCAAATTTATTTTTATTCTTTTATGAGTCGAAGTTAATGACAGAAACCCCAAATCCAGAAGCATATTTATATACTTTCAGATATATAGATGATTTACTCTCTATAAATAACTCTGTAATACAGGATGAGCTGAATCAAATATACCCTGATTGTCTTGAGCTCGAAGAAACTGTTTCCCCCCCATATAAATATGCCCATTATCTGGATCTAAATATTTCTGTACATGATGATTGCTTCATCACAGATATATATGACAAAAGAAGGGATTTCAACTTCGATTTCATTAGTATGCCCAACGCCAGAAGCAATATTCCTAGACATATCGTGAAAAATGTTGTAATATCCCAATTGAAAAGGTTTTGCCTAATCTGCTCTGATTTAGTAGGATTCAACTTTAATAGTGAACTTTTACACCAAAGGCTGAGAAATAACGGATTTTCGACAGATCTCTTGAAGAAATACTTTAAACTCTTTTCTCAGCAATTTAAGCAAGATCTTCGCAAGTATCCAACTGAAGGGGGTGATACTGCTTTTCCGTGGTTGCGTTAGTTTGGAGGTTTTTTATAATTCCGCTGTATATACAGCTCGGATGTGCGGCTATTGCAGCACAGAGTGACTGCAATACAATCCCGGTGATGGCAGTTTACCGATGCATGGGCTTATTTCCCATATCTTTCTTTAATTTCTCCTAGGGCTTATCCAGTTAGTCGGGGTTGGGTCAGGTGTTATAGGCCTAATGTGTCAAGGCCAAGGCCTAAAGGTANTTCCTTATTTTTTTTTGATCCAACGAAACAGACACAGGACATTTAAACCTCCCTCAGAAGTACCCTTTTTGATGGTTGAGTAGAGGAAAAATCATAATTTTGAAATATGAATCCTTAGCGTAGATTATTGGAGGGAAGTTTTTCAAAATGTATTCTCCTTCCTTACAAAAAGGGACACAAAAAAAGATTTCAAGTTAGGCACACACAATCATAAAGGTAATGCTTTTGATGAAAAAAATCAAGAAATTCTACCCATATGTCACGTATTTCAATGGGGACGTACTTTAAATACGTGTTTCCCATTTCGCAAAAAAGGAATGAGTTAATCAGTATTCAAGGTAAGGGAGAAACTCGCTAGTATATATATATATATATACTAGCTAGTATATATAATCCTTAGGATTGTCGCAGACGAAGCTGAGAGACTGTCCGCCGAAGATAATCTCATCATTTGCCACGGGACGCTCTATCCTTATGGCCTTAATGATAGATATCAAGGCATGAACATGTCCATGAACCTTAGCCAGCACTCCCATAGCTCGGACAATCTCTGTCAGGTTTCGGTTCGGGAGCGGGGTTCCTTCCCCCATGCCTAGATCGGTCTGGGTGGGACTGGCACCATTAGTGGGATGGATTCCCCCATTGCCTAGATTGGTTTGGGTGGGACAGGCACCTTTGGTATTTCCTTTTCACTATATATATATATATATATATGAAAAGAATATCCCTTCGAGATAACTTAATCAGGACAACCCAGGTGCTGGGAGCGATAGCCGACAACCACATACAACTAGGCTTATTATATTAGTGAGAGAGTCATGCCGATCAAGCTAAACCTATAGCCAGCACGAGTCCGAGCTATTGATAGAAAATAAGAAGAGAATACTAAAAAAGCGAAGGATAGCTAAGGAGGCCTAATGGACTGGCAAGTCGTAGGAGTCTCGTCAGGGGCACGATCCTACCAAACAACTTGCAGTGTAGTAAAACCCTTTTCGAAATCTCCACACCAGGAAATGATCATTAAGGAAGAGGACAGTGGCTGCCGCAACAGGAGTAACAAAAAGCTTCCACAGCTTAAGTCCGTCCTACATGCACCGCTCCTGCACAGTCCATTAGCTGGACGAGGTCCACACCTTTGGTTCCTAGAGGAGCCTAGTGCAGAGCGTTCTGTGCATGTAGACATGACGATGCTCAAGTCACTATCTGTAGGACCACTGTCTGGCAGTAAGAGGTTTCCCCTGGTGTGGAGATTCGTGCCCAAAGGGTTCTACCACTTCCCTAGGCTTTTAATCAAGAGAGATTGGCAAAGAGAGAAAGCCAATGCACTGGGATCATTAACTGGGATAAGTAATAAATTAGCTGCAATCCAAGCCTGAGTATGTGTCAGAGAGAGCCAACTCTGAACCGGAAATATAACTGTTCCCTATGGAAAAAGACCTAGAAACATGACAGAAGAAAGAGGAGAAAAGGCAGAAGATGAGAGCTATTGCAGAGATGAGGAACTTGGTTCCTGACCTGGAGTCTGTATTCTTGCTTAGGCCTATGGTCCATAGGCTATAATCTGGTCTAGGTCTAAATCCTGGGCCAGTTAGCCCCGGCCTATGGCTTGGGAGTCGTGGCTTTGGAACCTGTCTAGGGAGTGTCTCACTTTAAGAAAGAGGAAAAAATATCTTCACCACCCACCTCTCCATATTTGTTTGAGATTGGCAAATAGTGGGTTTTATTGAAGAGCTTGAAGTTTTTGCTAAGCATCCAACCTGGATATCCTTTATAGCTCAATGTCTTATGAAGAAGCTCGCTGTTGAAAATGAAATCATCCTTTAAATCGCAGATTTGCATATATCTATTCAGCTGCGGTTTTATCACATTTTTCATTATGTGGGAGGGAATGTTAGAGCGGTACATAGGCATGTTCAGTATTTTAAAGAATTAATCCCTTCTCTTATCGTAGATACTGGTCAGTATCTGCGAATTTGAAATACTTAGGTTTAAATCCAAGTAGTGTGCCTTAGGAAATAGTGGTTGAGTTTTTTCTACAACTTCCATACAATCCGGATAGATGTTTTTTATATCACGATCTATCCTGTCATTGTTAATGGCCAGGAGATCATCTATGTATCGGAATGTAAAGGCATAGTTCTCAGAGAAAGGGTTTTCTTTAATAAACTTTGATTCATAGAAAAACAGGAAAAGGTTAGGCATGTTCGTGGAGTAGGTACTGCCCAGTGGGATTCCGACTACTTGCTGAAAAAGTCGATTCCCAACTTGGATATAATTACATTTTAGGCTTGTTTTGAGCAGTTGAGAGAACCTTTCCTTGTCGATTTCACCTTTTTTACGAACTTGCATCCAGAAGGCAGAAACCTCCCGAAAAGAGCAACGATGCAATCATAGAGTAGGTCCAGAGGGGGTTTTTGTGTATAGAGTGGGAAAATCCCATGATCTGATGGATTTGGCTGCCTTAATAATATTGATGTTCTTTACAGCTTTCAGTACTCCTTTATTGTTTTTAATAATCCAATTTTCATGGACATTTTGATAGGAATATTTGATTTTAAATTTAAAACATTTTAAATGATAAAATTTTGTCCGACCTGACCATAAGAAAGATCGTGAAAAATTCGGCTCTAGACGGCCCGGGGTCAGGTAGGGACGATAAGGCTGGGTCACAGTCAATGCAGGCTTCTAAACCCCGGTTCCTCCAATAGTGAAAACGAAAGTTGTTTTTTTTTTGTACCCACAAAAGTTTGAAATTCTTTCCTCTGAAATGAGACACGGGACTACAAAGTCGATTCTTTACGCAATTGTGTAAAGTCAAACATTGTTGACAGGATGCGTATAAAGAGCGTGTTTTTAAATGTGAGCGGTTGTGTCCGTGTTTACTTTCATATTTGTGTGATTATTAATGCACTGTTCAACAAAAACTCAATATATATATATGCAACTTGAGCATGTGAGAATGCCTTTCATCGGATCAACAGTGTGGCCTCGGATAACCAAGAACAAGTGGACAACGCTGGCAAAAAGCTAAAGATTATGATAGAGCCTGGATAAAGCCAGTACCCAGGCAATGATGACATTCATACATGAATGTCGTGTTCTGAGACGTATATGATTTGAAAATACTGTATAATTTTTTCAAGTCAAAATCTGACGTTCTTTATTCATTTAAGTTTTCTTCAATAAAGGGAAGATATGAAATTTATATTTCTACTGTTCAATGATTGAGTTAAAAATACTTTTCTTGAGATCATATATTGTACAATCAAGTTATTCAGTATTATTGACATTTGTAAAGCGCTACATTGTCATTTCTTGTGCGGGGCTCAGATAGTAATTATATACAAGAATATGAAGAAAGTAGTCGTGTAGGCAGCAACTATGTTACCATCGCAGCCAGCATGCTGTGGTAACACAGTTTATGTAACTGCTATGGTGCATTAATATATACTGTCTACCATTTACCAAAAATCCTTTCTACCAGGATCATGCATCATTTACCAACCCTCAATGAATTGCTTGTGGCTGTTGTATATTAGGTTATCAATGAAAGCTTTAGTACATTGCGGCTTTGATCTTCTTGAAGGTTCCACACTGCTTCACTGAGTAGAGGTGAGCGCTTTGCTTTGTGCGTAGGCCATGGCAACTGGTGGATACCATGCTGCTCAATGAAGCACTGGTACTCCGTGCTGCATGATAGAGGGAATTGGCCTGTTGGAAGCTCTCATCAATGGACTAACGAAAACTTCACCTCAGCCCCTAGAGCCCTAGCCTCTCCACTCCTTTCTGTTTTTATTATTCAACTGAAAAAGTCAGGTCGACAGGAACTTCGAATAGCCGAATATACTTATCGCCAAAAGTGAAAAGGCGAGTGGCAGTGGGGTGGTCTAGATGAGTTTCTGTGCACAAACTTCCATTGGTGCTTTATAAAATCGATTGGAGTTTTAACTGCTTCAGATGGATATCCACATATAGATTTAAAAGACAATTCAAGTTTCAAAGGAGCCAGGGACGCGGTATTTATTGCCTAAAGCGAGTGTCCAGAAAAAGGTTGCCAATGAAGGGTGGAGTGGGAAAACATGATTACGTTTTAGAAAATCTGTCAATGTTTTGAGGTCATAGAATGAGGCGACGTGGCTGATGAACGAAGGAAGGCGGTCACTTCCCTTTCTTCCCTAGTGTTTTCCTCGTCGGGATAGTTTTTGCGTATTCCATTTTGAGCGTAAGTTGGGGATAAGTCGGCGTGGATCACATGCGTATGACATTCTGAAAAGGAGGATTATGTACGTAATGCATGCCTTGGTAATCCGCTGCACATGGTACAATGACCACATCGGTTGTTCCAATTGTGAGAGACCCAATGTTGCGTTCTTACTACTCACCTTTGCTCATCTATCTTCAATTTCAGAACTTCAATCTGAGGACGAAAGCCTTCAATCCTCTGTCGATGGGCTTCTATTCACGTACCATCTAAAGATGAATGGGGGAGAAGTTGCAACACTCATCAATTCAGACTATTCCGCACCGTAAACCTACTAGAACAATGTTGACATTGAGCTGTACAGAGGTTTTTAAGTGAGTAAGACTGAAGCAGTGGTTCTGGAATCTGAGATTCACCTGTGGAGACGTATTGCATTTAAATTCTTTTTTATAGCAGCAAAAGTACATGCTTTCTTTGCACTTTTTCGCCATTTAATGGTAACGAGGTGAATCGCTGCCAAAACATGTACTCAAAATACATGGACATAATCGAAATCGGGAATGATCTCTTTGCATTGTAATACTCCGAATTTCATCTTAATATTAACTTAGGATGCCAGGATACAAAAAGGATGTGGATTCCTTTAAAGGGGGATTGGAAAACATTCGCTTCTAAGGAAATTGCAATGCCCATGTATACCTGGTATTGAATCTTGGTTCATGGCAAAGTATCATGAAGCTCATTTGACTTTCAAGGGCGTAAGGTGATTCTACAGAGAGAAGCTCTACAAATTTCCTCATTTAATTAGCAGGCAGGAGAAGTTAAAGGAAACAAAAAAAACAAAGAAGCAATGAGAAAAAGCCCTAAGGAGCATTAAGCTTATTAATGAAATATTAGGAGGAGCCTCTCATGATATCTGAGAATATTGGATGATATTTCAGTCATATAATGAGCTTGTACAGAGAGTTCTTGAGGAAAGCAGGAGTCGGGTGCCTCCCATCTGGCCACGTTATCGGGGTCTACTTTTCAAAAAATTAAAATGTATACATGAAGCAAAGCAAGACAGCTATGGATTCCATTACCATCAAAGTGCTTTTGGAGATATTTTGAGAAAGTATTACACTTGCATGTACAGGAAAATGCTCGAGAACGAAGAGATTATTATTGGAGCACTCACTGCGTGTGCAAAGGCTTCATCGTGGTTTCGATGGAAAGACTGCAATCGCTCTCTTCGGTAGTTCCGAATGCCCAAATGCTTTGCACCTGTGAAACAGAACGTGGCACATACGTTGGAAGTTTCAAAACCCGTTAAAATAACAACTAGAGAGTATGAGTCCAGGTACAGATCTGCCATACCAATGGCCTCGAAACCACTGGAATTATCCTAGCCATTCAATTTTGAAATGAAATACTAGTATATGCAGTATAAACGTGAGTTAGTGAGTGAGTGATGCTAATTTTTAACAATGTTCTGGAGAAGTTAGAAATCTTGAATTTGGTAGACAAGTAGCTATTGAGGTGTGCAGTACAGAACAAATCTGACATAGCAGGTATATGCCCTCAGGGCTTTTTTTTTGGGGGGGGGGGGAATTTTAAAAGAATTTATTTTATTTCAGCCAAACGCAAAGGCGTAAAAAGTTTAAAATGGACATGAAATTTCCTATTAAAGTGCTTATTTCCAGGAAAATTTCAATTTTCAGATACACTATACTCTCCAAGGTATTCGGACACCCCTCCGAAAGTAGTGAACGATGCGAGCCGGACGTATGCAAAAAGGGAACAGGTATAAAAGTGTGCAGGAAACACCAGAGATATCAGTAGTAGCCAGTATGGGTCGCGGTAAGGAGCTGTCATTCAGGTCAAGGGTGGGCCCACAGGTTTTTAATTTCCGTATTAAAAATCCATTTTCTTCCACATTACTGGTGTTCGAATACTTTAGAGAGATCGAGGGGTGCTGAAAAGTTCCCGGCCTAAGTGGGAAGGGGATGAGCAAGGGGAGTGTCATTTATATAAATTGTAGCATAACATCTTGCGATTATGTGCAGACAGTTTCTTGACGATACTTTCAGCAGTTCCTTTTCAACACATCATCGTGAGTGCTTGTGCGTAGCCATTATTCGACGTGGAGAAATTTGAGCATCGGGCAATGATTCCATACCTTTTTTCAAAGGGCTTAAATGCGAAAGACGTCGATGCGGATAGGCGGCAGACGTTGGGAAATTATAAACCGAATTATTCGATTATGGAATATTGGACTGTGTCCGAATACTTTTGAGAGTATAGTGCTATACTCTCAAAAGTATTCGCACAACAATAATGTTGAAGAAAATGGATTTATAATTAGGAAATTAATAATGTGTGGGTCAGCGTTTGGCCTGAATGACCGATACTGGCTGCAACTGATAACTCTGGCGCTTCTTGCACACTTTTATACCTGTTCCTTCTTTACCTATGTCCAGTTTGCATCGTTCACTACTTTCAAAGGTGTGTCCCAATACTTGTGAGAGAATAGTGTACATGCCCTGTGGGCCCTTTTTCAGAGAGACGTTTTATATATTTTTGTTTTAGTTAAGGGGAGAGGCATAGAAAGCAGAAAATGAGTATGAACGTGCCTAATAATTTACTAATTTCAAGAAAATTTTTACTTTAAAGATGTATGCCCTGGTATCATAATGTTTGTGGGGTCGTTTTCAAATAATTTTCGCTTCAGCCAAATGCGCTATTACGTGGAGCTGGGATAAATTAATTCAAGGAAATTCTTAATTATTTCGTCCACGACCTCAGGGCATAAATTTTGGCCGTAAAAAACTTTCAAAAATTTTTCCCGCCATCCTAGTGGTAATTCTTTTAGGGATTGGAAATGATAGTATCCTTGAATAACTTGGAAAAAGCTAAAACTTGACACTCAAACTGCAATGATGATATTATTTGGCCAAGATTGTATATAGACGATCGTGAGTGACAGAGAGTGGCTGACAGACAGACGCTAATTCTAACCATGTTTTGGAGATATTAAAAATCTAAAACTTGATATACAAATAGTATTGGGATGCAGAGTTTAAAAAAAATCAGACTTTGGAGGTACATACCACGGTGGCACCCATTTTGGGGAGAGATCTTTTCAAATATATTTGCTTCAGTCAAACGGAGGGACATAGAAAGTCGAATCTTGACATGAACGTGACTACTGACACACTGATTCAGGAAAATGTTAAGTTTCCCTTGTATCCCCAGGGGCATATTTTTTGGAGTGACGTTTTCACAGAATTTATTTTCGTCCTAGCGAATTGGGCAGAAACAGAAAGGTGGAAATTGGCAAACATGTAGCTGACGTGATGTTGAGTTCAGAAAAAAATAATTTTTGTGGTGCCTACCCACAGGGCACAGGTTTTGGTGAGTCGACTTTTCCAAATAATTTCCCAGATATTTTGCACTATGGAAAAGGGCAAAGGGATAATACTGAAAATGAAGCATGAAAAATGTCTGCGACCCTTTGCCTCCCCTTCCCATCTGATCTCTATGAGGAACACAGGGGCCCTGTTATGTTCTACTCTTTGTTCGCCTTGCGTTCTCCCCTTTCACCTGTGCGATTATCATTGCTTGCGACGAAATAGGGCGACGACCAAAAGTGCATTCGACGTTTTGTGTGCGACGAAATGTCCGCGACCACTTTTGCCGCGACGAAAACTACGAGGGCCACTCAATAAGTTATCTACCTGAATATGAAAGGGATGAGCAACAGGCCTGTGCCTGCTGTGACATGTCTCGACAGGTCTAGTGAGTACCCAACCACTATACCAGCTCAGTGGCTAAAGTCCGTTCAAAGTGGTAGCGCATTAGATTTCTTTTCCGGAGTATGTGTCATGGATTTGACGAAAGTCGAACATCGTTCAGTGATCAAATTCCTCACCAAAGAAGGGAAAGCACATAAGGAGATTCATGAACGTATGTCAAACCTTTATTGTGTGTCTTCGCCTTCTTATTACCAAGTTAAATTTTGGAGCAAGCAGTTTAAGTGTGGAAGAGAGTCGATTGAAGATGACCCAAGGTAGGTGCGCCCTGTGGAGGCTTCTGATCAGGAAATGTGTGACAAATTGGAGAGTGCGATACCGGAGGATCGTCGCACCAAAGTCTCTGTTTTAGCTCATGAACTGGGGATTTCAGAGGGCACAGTGATTCACATTATTCATGAAAAATTACACATGTCCAAAGTCAGTTCTCGATGGCTCCCAAGAATGCTGACTCCAGCTCAGAAGAAGAACAGATCTGACATCTGCAAGGAAAACTTGGAGTTTTCTAAACAAATCGGGGAAACTTTTTTCCCCAGAATAGTAACTGGTGATGAAACTTGGGTTCATCACTGGGATCCCGAAACCAAGCAGGAGTCCATGTAGTGGAAGCACAAGGGATCGCCAACGCCTCGCAAATTTCGTGTTCAGAATCTGCAGGAAGGATTATGGCCACTGTGTTTTGGGACAGCGAGGGACTACTGCTGCTTGAGTTCATGCCAGACAAGTGTACAATCACTGGCGATTCCTATGCCCTTCTACGACTTTTATGCGATGTTGTTATTGCCAGTGATCCATGGCAAATGAGTGAAATATATTTTTAAATAGTATTTGATGCAATTTTACATCAGTTGTTGATATATTTCAAAATTTAAATATGCTTGAAAAAAGATGATCAGCCTTTATTTCGTCAGTGTCGCACTTGGAGAAGCCAAACTGCATTAATTACAAGTCGACATCGCAAGATATAGGACATCACATGCGATATGGCCCCGATACTAGTAAGATACAGTAACCCACCTCGCTCGTCAACAAAAGCCTCTGTGACATAAACCATGTTCACGTTCATTTTCACGCATTGAACAAAGAAATTCAGTCGGCCTCGTGTTGCCATGATGAGATAAGAGGCCTAATACGATGAATAACTACGTGAAAATGCGTCACTTAGGTTGCTTGACTTTTAAGGTGACCTGGATGTCTCAAAAGGCAAGTAAAGGTCACAAAAGGAAACTGCATTGTGTTGCAGTTCTACGAAGTACATGCATATAGTATTGCAAGTCGCGACGATCCGCGTAACTAATTGTAATATCCTATATTTGATGTTTTAATGGCTTTTTGAAGATTCGGAGATAACGCACTCCCTCTGAAGAAACTCCCTTCCCAAATAATCCAAGGAACCTCACCTTATTTTGTGCTTGAAGAGAAGCAAGGACTCCGAATTCCACGCACTGGGTCCTTATCTGCTACAGTGGCGTGCGCAACTCTGAGTGGAGGGTCTGGATTGGCTGTCTCTCCACTCCATCGGAATTCTTATCCATCTTACAGTTTACAGTCTACAATCTATGTATAGTGTTTCCCATTGACTTTCGTAACTGCCGTATAATGTTACGTACAAGCGGTATATTGCTTCACACTACTTTCAAGATGATCCTCAAGCGTTGCATATAATGTTTCGTATTCCCTCCTCGCGACGAGCGAACAAGTTTCACTCCGAAAGACGCGTCCATCTGACAACCCTTGGAGAGAGGAATGCATGGTTTGTCGAAAGTCTTCAGAATGGATGGATGTCGAGCACTCACGATTAACCCTTTAAATCCCACGCCCAAGAATACTCGCGATAGCTCCGTGGGCTTAAAGTGTTCCACTCTCAGGAATTCTTATTGATAAAGTAACATAACAATTATATGCGTCAGTGATGCTCCTCTTTCACCTGGTCGCCATGACGACCAAACGCTAAATGGCAAATGCCTTCCGTGGGAGGGTTTGTTTTGCTGCCGTTGCTTCATGGGTTCCGGACATGGTTCCCATTAGAGTTGCCAGGCGGCCTTGCCTTTCTGAGGAGCACTGTAGAAGTGGAGGAGAGCAAGGGGTGTGAAACATTATGCAACGTGTGTGACTCATTTTGTGGGAGGTTCGTAGTATTTTGCCGCCAGTGCTTAGCCGTCTGCAAGACGTGTGTAACACAAACCGTGTAAGGTGTCGTTCCACCATCAATTGGTTATCATGATTGATATCTGGAGAAGGAATGAAATCGGCCAATCTAAATCCTAACGAGGATTCGCTGCCCTCGTGTCTATTCTTCTTCCTTTTGAATCTACGAGGAAGAATATGAAACTGAAGCGGGGGGGGGGAGAGAAGCGTAACTACCACGTCCTTGCGATCTGGGCATGAAGGCTACTCATTCGGAGGGTGCTTCTGTAGCTTCCCCCTCGCAGTTTTTCATACGATGATACGCAAGATTATTCATGAGATTTCAATTGGCTTCATTGTCTCTCATCTCCATTTTAGGAAAACATGATGCGTCATAGTTATGAACTCTTCTCCGTCAGGGTTGATTCCTTTCCCAAGTCCCAGAATACGAGTTGACGAACTTTATGACCATACAACATGCACAAAAATGCCACAGGCAGGTGTCGCACAGGCACACAATTTTCGACACTGGAATGATCTCCTCCATTGTCTCAGTCACGGAACTGCATGATCGACCAGAACCTTTCAAGGTTTTATTAGTCATACGTAGAGGTAAAATAAAACTTGTACCGCACTGAGTGCGAAGAAGGGCGAAATTACGAGAATTTTTCCGTGCGTTCGACTCAACCCCCATCCTGATGAAGGCGTTCGGGTCTCGCCGCTGTACCCTTTATAGGATTTTCAGAAATGCTTTCCATCGGGGTGAGTCCTGAGGAAAAAGAGGAGCGGGGAGACGCTCTGCGACATCTACGAAACACCTTCGCACTAGCTCATTTTTCAGGAAGTACAGGACACTCCCTTAACACATTGCGTACATTTTACCCCGTCGATCCGCCGCTCTGACCTAAGCCTGTTACCACAGCCCAAGGCTCGATGCCTTCAAGGCTATGACTTTTTCGGCCATAGGTTGGGGAAAAGTACTCGCGAAAGGATTAAAAAAACGGAGATATCCGTGAGCGGTATCGAATTCCCACCTTGATGTGGACGATGACACCTTGGACACTGTTTTAAGATGGTGGCCGTCTGGATATATTGATTTTCTCTCTCCGTCCTGATAGTTTTTCCGGCCCTTGGTTTCGGCTCTTATTTTGCGCGAATCGTTACATTTTATTCACTTCTTTCCGTTTTATTTAATTTTCCTTGAGTTTTGGCGTTTACTTTGCTAGGCTAACTTTTTCATTGACGTTTTTATATATTTTTGTCCGAGTCTTCCCCCCCCCCCCCACTCGCTAGTAGAAGATATGGAGCGTGTGGCTCCATATCTTCTACTAGCGAGTTTGTTTGCCCTTCGGGCAAACAAACTCGTTATGGGTCGGAGGTGACTGTGCGACCCCTCTTTGCACTTCCCTAGGGACCCTCTACAACAATTACTTTTCAGATTTCGAATCCCAGACGGTCGATTTTTCCTCCCCTACTACCTTAAAGAAATGCTTTCCATCGGGGTGAGTCCTGAGGAAAAAGAGGAGCGGGGAGACGCTCTGCGACATCTACGAAACACCTTCGCCCTAGCTCATTTTTCAGGAAGTACAGGACACTCCCTTAACACATTGCGTACATTTTACCCCGTCGATCCGCCGCTCTGACCTAAGCCTCAGTTACCACAGCCCAAGGCTCAATGCCTTCAAGGCTATGACTTTTTCGGCCATAGGTTGGGGAAAAGTACTCGCGAAAGGATTAAAATAACGGAGATATCCGTGAGCGGTATCGAATTCCCCCTTGATGTGGACGATGACACCTTGGACACTGTTTTAAGATGGTGGCCGTCTGGATGTACTGATTTTCTCTCTCCGTCCTGATAGTTTTTCCTGCCTTTGGTTTCGGCTCTTATTTTGCGCGAATCGTAACATTTTATTCACTTCTTTCCTTTTTATTTGATATACCTTGAGTTTTGCTGTTTATTTTGCTAGGCTAACTTTTTCATTGACGTTTTTATATATTTTTGTCCGAGTCTTCCACCCCTCCACACGCTCCATATCTTCTAAGTGTTTTTTTTTTCTGTTTCTTTTAATACGTAGTCCCACGTCTCGAAAATGTGGACTGGATGTCTTAAGGGAACTTCTCCCCCTCGAGGTGTGAGACATGGTTCTATCCCTCCCTGTGTCTCAACGACTTCCTCGTAAGAATGC